GTTAGTTGTCAACGCGAACCTTGTGTGCTCGCATTGAATCTTATTCTCACTGACTTGTCGTTCCCCTCTCTCTCTCTCTCTCTGCCTGCACCTCCTCTCAGCTGGTGAGAGCTACTTTTGTAGAGTTTCTCATATTTCATTTTCCCATGCGATTTCCATTAATCTTTCTACAAAACTCTGTGTGTGAGTGTGACTCTGCGTGTGTGTGTGTGTGTGTAATTGTAAAGTGAGTCGTTGGTTGCTCCGTTGCTGCTGCAGCAGCTCGGCAACTTGAGAATTTAGGAGTTATTCAAGGGAGGGGGATCCTTTTGTGAAATCACACACGCACACTCGCACGCTGTCTGCTCTAAGTGCACACCTAGCTGTTTATTTTCCCATTGTATATGTGTTTGTGTGTGTGCAAGTGTGCAACCTGTGGCGCGGATGAAACAGGAGCAGCAGCAGCAGCAGGAGCGACTCGAGTCGAGTGGAGAGCTCGTGTGCACCGTTCTGACCGTCTGGCCGAGAGTCTCAGATGTTGGAGCTGCGTCCGAATGTTATTACTTTTTATTGTTTATGGCCTGTGTGTAAATATATACAGATGCCCAAGCACATTATTCATACAAGGTGTATATACGAGTATGTAGTGTGTGTTTAGCTGAAACAACTTATTGACACTCATAAATTTGAAAACAAAAATAATAAACCAAAAGTTTGATACAATATCTTCCGCTCATGTGGCTTCATAATCTTTATTAATTATTCGATCGATTCAACATCATTCAGACATAAATAAGTGGATGGATACATAGATGTTGGATATGGGTATGTATGCATGAGTGTACGTATATTACCCAATACATATTTAGGTAGATATAAGGCGGAAGTCATAAAAATAGTAATGCAATAAATGTATAATGTATATATGTCTTCATTAAATATGAAAATAGAAATATATTTGGCAATAATTTGAAACAATTGCCAAGAGAGTTCCCCATTGTTTCGTGAACAAAAGATTTTATGCTCTAATCGCGTTGGTTAATATAGTTTCAAGGGTATTTGTGTGCTCATTCTACATAGTTCTAGTAATTATATTATTTCTTTTGTTAAGTATGTATATGCATGTGCACGGCTACACTCTGTTTGTATATATATGTATCTATGTATATGTGTGTTTGTGTCGGTTGCTCGCCATATTGCTGATGCTGCCAGCACCATGATGTCTCTCATCTCATCTGCTGTCTTCTCTCTCTGGCTTTGTCTTGGATAGCGGCCAATAAAAAGTTCAAGGTAATTCCCTTTAGCTACATCCTTTCAGATCCTCCTCTGTTATTATTTGCTTTCCTCATCCTAAAGTGTTCACATTGGGCTCTCTCACTCTTGCACTCTGTAGAAGAGGTTGAGCTAACCAGTTTTAAGCAATCAGAAACTGGCATAGCCATTGCCATTCCTTTCTTTTCCCAAACAGTCAAATTTCATTCAGTCGAGTTGCTTCGTTTCCTTCCATATACATGTGTATGTGTGTTTCTCTGGCTGTGTAAATGTAGTTATACAAAGAGCGATCCACAGACATAATTTGAGGCTTATTTTAACTGCATTAATTTTTGTCCATCTGCATACCGATTGTATCCGCTGAATCAATCGTACAGATCTAAGAAAAAAAACTTTTTTTTTATATATATACATACATATATTTACAATATCCTGTTAATGTATAACATTGGTGCGGCGTTTGAAAAAAATCTGTTAAAACAGCTTTTCTGCATTTAATCTGTTATGTTATTAACATTTACAGTCCCGCACCTTAAAACTTAGAAAATAAATTGAATTTAAAAATGTTTTGTTTTTATTAATTTAGAAATCAATATAATACTAATCTGGATATCTATTTAGGTTGAAATTTCTGTTAAATGACACTGTTTGGAGTTCTCATGTTATTAACATCTGTTAGTATGTTATCATCTGCTCTTCATTCCACGCAAATTTATAAGTTTGTAATTTATTATGATTAATGACCCAGAGGCAGCCAGCAAAGAGCTTCTTTGGGTGTGTGCTGTCCTGTGGAGCATATGTATGTCTTTTCGTTTGCCGTTAATTTGTAATGCCTTGCAGGTGGAATTGGAAGCCATTTAAATTGCCAGCTTTATATTCGACTAGGCACAGCCCTTTAATTGATTATTTTGGTGTGCAACAGTGGATGCCTCTTCTCGCTTGTTTGAGTTCTTCTTATTCTTGATTTGTGGCCGGAAGAGTGGCGCATTCTTGGGCATGGCTTTTAAAGCTCATTCATGGGCCGAGCTCAGATGTCCGCCATATTGTTTACTCACTCTTTCCAGATCTTCTCTTTGTGCTCTTTTTAATAAAGTTTTAATAATTGAATGTGCGGGGCAGCTTGGAGCCGCTGATGTTTGTTGCTCTGTGCATTTCATCAGCTTCTTGCTCGACGCTTGGTTTGTTGTAGCTGTTGTTGTCTGGTCGCTTAACTCCCTCATTAATATGTAAATATGACTCAAGCACAGTCACCATGCGTATGTCCATGCATGCCTGTTTACGTCTGTATTTACATGTGTGTGCGTCTGTCTGTTTTATTTGTGTGTTCTTGCCTACCATGTCGTTCCTTACCTTTTATGCTGCTCTGCTCACCCCTTCATCTTTCCTGTTGTAACTTTTGTGATTTAAATGCAGGTCAACGGCACATTAACCTTTACTTTGTTTTAGTCTCATTCGCGTACTACCGTTTTAAGAATCCTGTTTATTTAATAACGCAGCGCGACCGACTGAGTTTCTACATTGCAGCTGTATTAAATAATTAACTTATTTGTGGAATTCATGTTCACTTTAATATTTGTATACCCTGTATTCATGATAAGTGTTAAGATTGTTCAAAATGTTTTATTTA